TACAAGTTGAAGTCGTTCGACGAGGTGAACATGAGGGGTCGAAGAATCATAGCTGGGGGAAGGGTGAGATCCAGAGGAGAGGAAGTGATTGCGATTAGGCCAAGCGTTTTCAACTATCCCCTGCCATTATCAGCTTGGGAGAGAGACAGATAGAAAGAACAAACCTCCATCCATGGACAGCACATCTTCCAACTCGACATCTTTGTCAAAAACTACTGCAGCGCCGTGGAAGAGTTCTGTATCGTCGAACTCACTCTCGATTCGAAACGCGTGTCCAAGGAGCTCAAGATGACTATAAAATCGTTTGTGTGGGGTGGCAGAGGAGTTAGAGTTTGGCAAGGTGGAAAACTGAGAAGAGAACTTTTGCGCGTTCGTTTCAGGAGAAAGTTCGACAATGTAAGCGTTGGGAATGACGGAGGATCCCGTGCCTGAAGAAACGGAAGGGTAAGGGAGAGTAAAGAGCGTAAGGAGGGTGAGCGCTCCAAGCATGTCAGAAAGACTGTGTCCAAGTTGGCGATGCGAAAGAACCTGCGGAGGCAATGAGAGGAAAGTAACGATATCTAGACTGAAGGAATTAGGCTTTTATGAAACCGTGATAGACGCTCGAATGTACGCTGGGATATTTCGTTTCCGTTTCTCGTTTTCAAGATGGAGTTTGACCGTTGGAATATATCACCCACGAGCTCCCATTCTAAGCAGGTCACGTTCAGGCTGTCCATTGGACCACTTAGAGCAGCCTAATGACTGGAATATTGGGGTGTGGGGAGACAGCATGACTGTCAAATGTGGCTGGAATGACTTGAAAGCAAAATCCCAGAGAAGTCTTTTCGCCTCCTTTGCTTCCAATCCAAATGATTGGTGCAAAATTACGTTGGAGGGAATGTGACTGGTGAGCTCCAATGTATTGTGTGCGATCATACCTGCAGCGAGGTCAGAATGAAGATCACTAGTTAGAAAACGCAAGCCAAGACGTGAAAGAGAATGAGGCGAGGGTATGGGCGGTATCCTAGTTTGTGGGCACGCTAACCCTCCTTCGTATTGAAAAGTCTATTTTCCTTCGAAAATCGATTAGGACAGCTTGTTTTGCATTTGTACACATTCAGTTGGACGTAACAGTAGTACACTGCAAACATGATGGCCATCAGCAAGAGAACCTCAGATGCAAAGACATAGCATCCTCACCATGACTAACGACGTATCTAGAGCCCCACTCTCCCGTCACCGCCTCCCAGATTTTAACCAGTCAAGATCCTGTGAAACATCTTTGAAAGCATATCCTAGACAATATAGTGTCCCGAAAACGATGTCTCGATAGTTCGAACTCAATTGATTCAGTTCCTCGGGTAGGTTGGGATGTTGCTTGAGGATGCTGTAGAGATGAGAAAGGAGCGCCACACGAGCTAGATGGGATGAGGTCGTATCCTATTTCTCGATGTTAAGGATCAGATTTGAACGGGCTAGAAGAACTTACGATCTGAAATTCAAACATCCTACCAACAACCACTTTAACCAGCTGTCTAGATTTAGCCTCTAACACTTGCAAAGCCTCCATTTCACCAGGCAGAAACTGAAAGCCCGATTGCTCCTTCTGTTTTACAACCGCCAAAACCTCAAACATCAACCGTCCAACTTCGCATTCCATGTACGCGAAACTGCTGGTGAATGTAGGAGCCAGACGTGAGGCAATGATGCGGTAGAGGGCCGAGAGATCTGCGAGGAGCATATTGAGGTAACTGAGTACTTGATTCAAGAGATGGACGAGAGGGGGACGTCGAAGTCGCCTCATAGCTGTCACGACCGCACATTATCACTGGGAGGGGAATATGCATGAAAGGAAACAAACGGAGCAAGAAGTCCTGTATTATCAGCCGTTGAAAAATCGTGAGTCGAATCAACTGTTCCATCCCAGTCTGTATCGTCTGACCGTGGGAAGATGCGGAAAACTCACAGTAATGCTATAAAGCTCCTTGCTTTCTTTCCTCATCAAATCCTCCTCCTTCAGCCTCATTTCCAGGTTTGTGCAGTTCGCTATCCCATAGGGAGAATCCCGGAAAATAATTTCAATCTGCTCGTCCGTTCTACCTCACTTTATGTCAGACATCTTTCCCGTCACAGTAGGCAAAAGGCGGCTCACATTGCCGGCGGCGTTCTCACTTGCATCGCTGAAGCTGCATCCCTCTTGAATAAAAGTGGAGCGATTGTTTCTAAGAGGAACGTCCGAACTCGCGTTGAGGTTGTAGGGTCGAGCTAAGATTTAAGCATTCAGCCATATTGTGGTCTGAGAAGGTTTTCTACACACGAGAAGGCCGCGAAAATGTTCCACTGCGGCAACCACCAAGCTTCGGATCTGATACCGATCACCTTCAGTCTTCTCTATCGCGGTGTCCAATCTATTATAGGTTGATCAGCATGTATCTGGATGGAAGCAAGGCACAAAGCGAGAGTCAAACCACTCACACGCGCTCGAGAAGCAAGAGGGATATAACACTTTCCACTGTTTGCAAGCGCATTATCCCCCCTCGATCACAAGAGTTAAGCGCTTGCGCGAGAAGTGTGTGGCAAGAAGAAGCTCGGAGCGCTCCAAAAGGGAGGGAAGATGGTGACCCCCAGACTTCACTAAGGGAGGACAAGGGCGAGCTGCGTATGACCGCCTTTCCGCAGGTTAAACGATGAAAGAGCAGAGAATGAAGACTGACAGGATGATCGGAAAACCAGGCTCCGACAACAAGCAAGGTTGAGAATATCACCTTCGAGGTATATGTGAGAAAGACGCTGACGGAATAAAGCAGGAACGAACCTCTTCAGGTGGGCATTTTCCAACGGTATCTTCATCGACAACAGTATCGTCGTAGTTAGACCAAAAGTGAGTGATGGGCATATGAAACTGTAGGTTACTGCCAATTAGTAACGTTCTTAAGCATGAAGAAACGGAGAGAGCGGACCTTGAGCACTTCAGTTTGCACCGACTACATTCAGAGATCAATATCAGTCATATTCCAGATGCTTAGAAATGCTTACCAGTAAATGCCGCTTGAGTTCCGTCCTGTCGACTGTCAAGCCGAGACTTTGTTCTGCACGGGCATAAACTGTGACCTTGCTCGATGAAAGGTTCCAGTGTGCCTCCTGGATTCTTTCAAATTCTTTTCCAAAAAGTATTCTTTACCAAAGCGTCAGTTGAATGTACGGAGGTAATATAATCGACACATCGAATGTAATAGAAGATCAGGTGAGATACACACATGAATGAAATGAAAGTAGAAAGAGCGAAAGAGCACCTACTTGGCATTTTCAATGTTCTTCCCTGATCTATTTCTTTTCTTCTTCACCCCAGGATCGATGATTGGGACAGGCACGCATTCGATGCCCTTCTTCGAGCAATGAGCACACGGCTGTCGCCGATTGGTTGAATCCCGAGACGAGTTGTTAGGTGGTGAATCGGAAGAAGAAGAGCTGGGGCTTGATGCTGAGACGGAGGGTAGAGGCGTGGTCGCTGGGCGACACTTGACGTGCGCTTTGTTGCACGCCACACAGGAGGAGTTAGGAGGTCGTCGCTTTAGCCTTTGAGCGTTTGTGGCCATGGATCTAGACGCTGAGATCGTAGATAGAGGGCGGCGGCGTGTGGTAGAAGGTCATGTAGCTGGGGTTTTTATATCTGAAGTGGTCGTTTGATAGTGATGACTCTGGGTTGGTTCAAAACTCACATTATCGTCCTCTTGTCTCATCTCATCCATGATTGGAACCTATGTGGGAAACGACACAATAATTGTATGTAAGATCTAGAAATTGAGAAGTCTTTTGGGTTGGCTCAAAACAAGACGGACAATCCTATTCATGGCGTAATAAACAGAGTAAGAGAGGCAAAGTGTGCTTGACATGTGACCTACATTTCGTCGTCGTCAATCATCCAAGGTAAGAAAATACAGTCAGCGCATAAGAAGCCTCACAGACACATTTCCACACGAGTTCCAGAAACTGAGTGTCTTAACTACTTACAGCATTATCACAGAGAAAAACGAAAAGCCACGTTGCTAACTAAATGTATAAAACATCTAAGTCCTTTCAACATCCTGGTCAGGTAAACAAAGTGGTCATCCGAATCGTTTCTGACGGTCTTCCAGCGCCGCGTCGTATGATCTCTTCTGTTACCCCCGTGTTTCCACTTCGCCATCATGCTCATCCTGGTGACGCTGAAAGCAGTGCCTCTTCGCTGAGGTTGCCGCCACTTGTAGATGATATGAGGCTGTAGCCAGCCGAGCAAACATAACTGGCCCTCCACCAGCACGCGCTGTTGATGAGGACTGTCGGAGCCCTACGACCACGAGTCGCCTGTTAAGACCGCATTAATGTATTAATAGGAGCCGTAAGTGGTCAACGCGGTGACGGGTGGGAAGACTGTAAGAGGGGTAAGAGAAGTCAGAAGAAGAAGCATGAAGATAGCCGGATTCGTTGGGCTTTGGTGCTCTTGCCAGAGTTTCTGTGGGGCTAAGGAAGGTTGAGCATAGCAACATGTCTTGACGGTCTAAGAATTGCCGTGCTTTCCTGCTTGATAATCGTCAGATGAGTAGAGATGCCGCTTGCAAATGGAGGTGGAAAGAATCCTGTTGTTCCAGCGAAGACCGAGGATCAAGTCCTCTTGCATGATTGCAGACGGTAACGATCGCTTCTTCCGCTTCGAGTCGAGAAGTTCGGAGGTCGAACGTTGAACAGTGTTCCTGGCATGCCTTTTGTCGCTTTTGGCCGGCTCTAGATGTCAGAAGTTAGGCTCGAAGAAGTTGGAGTGTGTAGACATCGCGAGAAGCATTCATGTTAATGTCTTCGTGGTCGTTCTAATAACTCCAATGATTTTGAGCTGCAGAGCCTTATGATCATATCAGTGGTAGGGCTTATCACGGATCTCAGAGGTCTCAGCTTTGCCAATGACATCTGGAAGATTGATTGGACCGATTGGACCACAACAACAATGAGAGAAGAAAAATTTGTATTGACACCGAAAAAATGTACTCTCCCTAGTGGAGTCGAACCACTGTCGCCGACAAGACAAGTAGGCATCTTACCGTTGGAACAAAGGAGATTTGATAAAAATTGCTTTCGATTAAAAGTATGTATTACGTTTGTTCACCATTTGATTTCTCGATTCCTTAAGTTCTTTACCTGCAGTACCGAAGGTCCCAAAGGCGAGTACAGCCGAGTATGCCAGAGTCCCAGCGCCGTGCTCTAGGACGTGGAGCTTGGATTAAAGACATACACAAACGTACACTGTAAAATAAGGTTCCAAGGATCCGACAGATTAGCTTAGGTTTCAGACGCCAGACTCCGCCACAGAATCCCAAAGATCGACCACGATCTCGAGCTTCCGCTGTGGAGGACTTCGCTGCTTCTCCAAACCAGCCCCTTCTCAAGCACTCTTCAAGTCTCTTTCCGACAAGAAACAAGATGTCTGCCACTCAGCGTTCACATAGAAGGTCGAAGGCTGTCTTGGAAGGCGTGTTGCAGCCGAAGGGAGATCTCATTCTGAGGCTGGAAGAGGATGAGGGAAGGAAGGGAGTTGGGAGGGAGTTGAGGGGAGCGGGAGTGGTGGAGAAGGAGGTATGCACGCTCTCTTCCGCTTTCGTCATCTTCAGTCGTTAATCGTTAACGACAATGTAGAACTTTCCTATTATCTCTGTTCAATCTCCCGACTCCAAGCTCAAGAAGCGACAGAGTGTCTCTGAAGTGCGGGCGAGGTCGGAGGGCAAGTTGGAAGGCAAACGACATGTTCGCCACAGACACCGTTCGTCTTCTCCATCTCTTTTACAAATTGTCGGGATCGAGGTTCATTTGTATTCTTCTCCCACAGAGTCGATCAGCGTGGCCTGTCTCGTGGAGAACAATCGCGCCGAAACCACTCAGGTGGACGGGAAAGAGCAGGTCGACGCGGCGTCCTTTTTTGGAGCGAGAAAACAAAGAAACGACCCGTCCTTCTCTGAAGGGAGAGAACAAGTTATTCCCTGCCTCAAACCCAATCCCAGGCGTTCTTCCCGCCGTTCCATCGACGCGGAGGCTAGGACTCATTGTCCCATCGTCTCTAACAAAGTGGAGGGACCACTCGACCTCCTCTCCATGTTGCGGAAGCCTAGTTCGTCTCCTGCTCCTTTCCCTATTCCTAAAAGTGCAGTGATTAATCTTCGGGTTGGATAGACATCTACAACCTTCGACTCCTCACAGATTTCATCAAGGACCCAACTTTGAGCTGGGAGGAAGAGAGCACAACCGCCAATGCAGCAAACTCTACAGTGCAAACTGGACCTGAATGCGAATGCGAAATAGGCATCGTGCCCATGGTGTTCATCCATCCTCCCTCCGGAGAGGGGGAGGTTGAAGAGTTCCCAGTGGGAGTGGAGGTGTACCACAGGGAAGAGGCGGAAGCGGAGGCGAAAAGGCAGGAGGCGGAGAGGGAGGAGCAGAGGAGGAGGGAAGAAGCGGAAGACGATGAGCCGATCGATCCTTTCTTCTTACCTGCTGGTCAGTCCTTTTCCTCCATCCCTCCATATCTACTTTAAACCTCTGATGGCTCTTTCTTCAGTCGTTCAAGGGGATGACGTGAAAGATTTGCCTTCTTTCAGAAGCAGGAAGTCGTGCTGTCTCGAGACTCTCTCGTCCAATGACGCGGAAGAAGACAGGGGAAGAAAACGAGGGTCTCTCGTCGGCTCCTTCAAACTTGTTCAACCAGAAAAGGGACCATCCAACAAGAGTCACAAATCGAAGACTCGATCGACGAAGGACAAAACACTTCTGATCGCGCCGTCGAAGGACTCAAGAGGACGTCTCGCCAAACGTTCGTCTTACTTTCTTCCTCATTCTATGTTTCTCATCCTTTCGCTTCATGTCATGTTACAGCCAAACCGTCCCCCTCGAAGTGCGCCAAACCTTCGTCTACCTCTACTTCTTCCTCTACATCTTCAACGCATGTCGCATACGCTCGCACTCCACCCTCCACTCTCGCTAGCCTCGAATGCAAAGTTCACGCGGCCACAAAGAACTTTCGCAGACCGACCTCCAAGGTTGCGCTCGCGAATGGAGTGAAGATTGGACTCCCTAGAGCATTGGACCACACGGTGACGACATATGTGAGGCAAAGGAAGCTGGACGTGCTTGTTGAGGAGGAGGAGGAAGAGGAAGCTTGATTCCGCTCTGGCATGTCCACCAACTGAATCGAGCCCTTAGTTGGTACTCGACTGGGATGTAGAAGAGTCCCTTTTGAGATTGGATCTCGAGCTTGAAGTCTTCCTTTCTGTCTTTTCTTGGGATTAAGATGGACGATCATCCTATTTCTTTCTTGTTTATATTTTTGACAGGTCATCGACAAGGGGTTAGCCTTAACGCTTTTAATACTTTCTCCTTGTGTTAATTTCTTTTCAGATCGATCTTTTCTCCTTGAGTTACATCCCTCCTTCATGGACTTCATGGACACAAAAAAAGCTTATTCACTCATTAATGTTTCTCCTCTTGTTTTTCTTGCTTCGCTTCAACTTCAACTTGACACACATCGGAAACTATACTCATTCATTAATATTTCCAGTGCTTGTCCGTTCCTTTTCTTCCTCTCCCCTTTGTCACATCCACATCAACATATCATTATATCACCTTCCAAAGGGACACTCTTGTATTCCAGAGGTTCATAGTTACCGCGTGTAGCCTTAGGCAATAGTCAAGCGTGTATGGAAATTACCATGTTGTACTCATCATGAATCCTCAAGATCGTTGAAACCTTGAGCTTTACAGAATTGCATGGAACGCATACATTGCATAGGCACGGAACATACTAAGAAAACTACATCGTCAAGGGTCGTTCATCCAAAAGTTTCCATTTAATGCGGAAACAGTCGGATGATATACGGTCACGAAAGGAGCGAGGCCAAATATTCAAGAGAGCCCATTCGTAACGCTGAAGAGGGAATCTTCCTTGTCTGACGCATCCTTCATCTCTGACCAGATATCTTCTTCATCCTCCTCGAGATATTCGACAACCGGCGCACACCTGGGACCTGTAGAGTTCGCTCCCCCAAAAGCTGCTCAGGTTCCCACCACCGCTGCACAGATGCTTTCGGCGTTACATCCGTGGAGAGACAAGCGTGTTCACCATCGAGAGTAGACGCTGGAGAAGGTTCATCAATCCTCTCACGTCCGAAGGACTTCCCACGCTGGATCCTCTGAAACACTTCTCTGGGTTCATTTCCAAAGGCAGGAACGCAGTTCCCAGCGTAGACACTTTGAGGGAAAGTGGTAGTCATCCCGTTAGTGTTTCTACCAGGGGCGACACTGGCAGGAGGGCCGGAAAGGTCAACCGGAGTATTTGGACCCGATGAGGTGCTTCGAAAAACTTCGTGCGGGAGACACGAGTTCTTCAGTCCTTGGAGTAAAATTCCTGGCAGGCTCCCATTCTTCAGGAATCGTGGGTAACCTGGTGTTCTCAGTCGTCCGAGCGGTTTGTGGTTCAGAGTTAGGAGGCGTCGCCAGAGTAGACTGCTTCCCCATCTGGGCATGGAGCTTCTCGATTTCAACAGCGATTACGTCCCTGACAGCATCGACCAGTTCTCTCTTCATGGAGGTGACAAAGTGAGATTCCGAAAGACGACTGGGATCACTTAAGGGTTCAAGTGGGTCCGGCGCGCTGATTCTATCATTTCTGTTAAGGGTGGGCGAAATGGCTTGCATCCTCTGATTCCCCATCGACGCTGGCGCTGAACCGAAAGTCCTTCTAGCACCAAGACTGGGAGGCGGAGGAGATACAGAAGTAGGAGAACGAGGTTCAAATGGGTTCTGGAATACCGGAACGCTGCGTGGACGAGGAGTCTGTATGTGGATGGGTTTGGGGATAACACCCTTCTTTGACTGTGGCAGGTGACGAGAGGAAAAGAAAAGGCTCGATCTTTGCCTAGAATCCACAGGAGTGTCGGATGACGCAGTATCGAAAGACTGTTCCTTGCTTCGCCAACCATCTTCCAGGTCGGTAGCAACTTCCTCTTCTGGGCAACAGGTAGAACATTGGCTTAAAGGAGAAAGAGCTGGGGAGGAAGGCGTCTCTTCAACGGGAGTGATAGGGCGTTCGGATGGAAGTGCGTCAGACGATGGGAATCTCCTGTGAACATCTTCCTCTAGGTCATCCACGACGACAGTAAGGTGCCTGAAGACTTGAATGAGGTCTCCTATATCCGAATGGACAGAATCCAGCTGGTGATGAAATGCATCTGCAATCTCGCCGTATTTAAGTTCCATGTCGTCGAGCTGCTTCCGCAATGAAGCCGTCCTTGAAACAACCCGATTCAGAATATAGAGATACACCTGCCCATCTGATCAATCGATGGCGTAGGAGGAAGAGAGTCATTACCACAAGAACGCAAATGATGCATAATGTCAAGAGCCAGAAGGAGCGCTCAATAGCAGCAATCTCTGATCCAATAATCCGCATTGCGATCGTATGTCCTTCCAACTCTACAAGACGGTTGGAGCTGGTAGTAGCACTCGAGTGCGCAATGTCTGCGTCATCGCTGAAAGCTTGTGTCTGATGCGCACCGTCTGTGTGCTCTACGAAAGCTTCTGCCAGTGGTTCCGCTGTCCCAGCAAGAAGCCACAAAACAGAGCTGACGAACCAATCAATTAGACAATGTATAAACGCAACGACGTCAAACTTCATTTCCATATAAGACAAAACTGTTAGAGTCGAGAGATCAATATTCGCTTGGGTATCTGAAGAGTCTGGAGTCTTGGTAGATGTGGGCACGAAAAAGTGAGAGGTCAGCTCTAGAAGCTTTTAAAGGTTGGTCATCTTCAGTAAGGCAGTAAGGGATTGAACAAGGATTAGTGCAAGCGTATGAGTACAAAGGGGAGGTAAAAATTCCCGAACGTTACGCCACTGTGACTTTGTCCAACGACCATGGACAAAGGGATGATAATAAAGGACAAGTGTACAGTAGCAAACAGATCTTCGAAGTTTTGATTTATAAATCAGCCTCAGACTCTCGTTTGAAAGCACGCATACCCCTTTGCCAACCTGCGAGGAACAACATCAAGATAATATCGTCATCATGCATC